ACAAAAGTCCAGGGCAAGGCACAGAGAGCATGAAACAAAAACAAGAAAGAGTTGATGTGTGAGGAGAGCAATCACGTTTATATTCTAAAACCAAAATAAAACTGAACACCTCAAAATTACAAACCAAAACAAATAAACAAAAAACAATATCTTTCAAAAAGGTCTCTTCAGTATAATGGATAAATAAAATAATGTTAAGTAAAATTAAAAAGCTGAAGCCTTCTTGCAGTGGATTTGCTGGTTTCAGTCATGTCCTCATCTCATATATAAAACTACGGTGACCGAGAAGTGCAAAGCAAATCACAATTCTGAAAACAAAATAACAAATTACAAACGCAAATGCAAGTCTAAAAAACAAAATAACAATTCAGAAAGCACAACAACAATTCAGAAAACATTATAACAAGTCAGAAAACACAACGACAAAAGTTTAAAATGTATTGTCTAAATTGTGTTTTCTAACTTATCTTGTTTTCGAATTTGTCATTGTGTTTTCTGACTTGTTATAATGTTTTCTGAATTGTTGTTGTGCTTTCTGAATTGTTATTTTGTTTTTTAGACTTGCATTTGAGTTTGTAATTTATTTTGTTTTCAGAATTGTGATTTGCTTTGCACCTCTCTGCCACCGTATAAAACACCTGTGATTCACAAATACTTGCTGAGGAACTCGCGTTCACATAAAGTAGCCTTGTTGACAAGTTTGGGTGAGTAAGGGCAAAACGCAGTACTTTCAGTGACCTGTAGTAGACAATATGACGTCTTTTGTAGCAGAAATAAACTGCTGCAGAAAAAGCTAGGTCCATGCAAAATGTAATGTGTAACTGCAACACTCATTTCAAATGTAGTGAAGTAAAGAGTAAAAGTTGCTAATATCTTTGATACTCAGTACAACTACAAAGTACCCAAAAAGATACTCAAGTACAGTAACTAATTACATTTACTCCAATACTTTACACCTCTGACTAACATGAACTAACAATGAACAATACATTTGTTACAGTATTTATTAATCTGTGTTAATGTTAGTTAACAAGTACAGCTTTTGTGTTTCAAATTAACTGTAATCCCTCAAATAACTTTGTTCTTTTGAAAAACATTTGTTTCCCTGAGCAACTTTGCAGTCTTTCGTAAACAACAAAAACAAAATTGTGTTTGTTTGCAAAATAATTGCATATCCCTGAGTAACTTTTTGTTCTTTCACAAAACATTTGCGTAAACTCTCAAAAGTATTGCGATCTCCTGAGTAACGTTGTGTTCTTTCTCAAAACATTAGCATTCACTCACAAAAGTATTGTGTTCCCCAAGTAACGCATCCTTTCGCAAACATTTGTGTTCTTGTGTATTCAGTAACTTTGCGTTCTTTCACAAAATATTTGCATTCAAAATATTTGCTTTCAGTGCGTCATGTCTCGTCAAATCTGCTTCCGTGCTTTCAGTGTTTTTTAACCACGTAATGTTTATTTTAGGTTTCAGAAACTTAAATAATGATCCTTACAAATATAAATTTGATGAAATGTTTTATTGATGTGTCATATACACATTGTATAGGTAACTTAAGCGTACTCTATTCTTCTCCCTGTTCACCGAAAACTTAGAGGATGAATTTACGTAAATCCCACAGCTCAGACTCTGTGCGAACAAGGCGGCACCCATTGCCCGTTATAGATCAAATAAAATGGTCATTATAAAGGTGTTTAAACTACTAAATACCTTTACGTACGCATATTTGGGAATTGGAATATCAGATATTTCATAATATAGTTAACACGCTTGTGGCTGTGCTGTGTCATGTGACAAACATGACGCGTTGTCATGGAAAAAATATTGGTCGCCTAAAAAAACTCGCGTTGGGGGGTCATCTAGAATATTTCAAAATCACGTGCGAAAGAGTCAAAACCCATGTGGTTAGGAAGTTGCCTTGGAAGGTTGTGACGTGTAGGCAAGTACGGTGTCCCATTCTTGGAATTTGTGCTCTGCATTTAACCCATCCCAAGTGCGCACACACACACACACTCAGGTTTGTTTTTGTGAAAAGTGGGGACATCCCATAGGCGTAGATTGGGGTTTAAGGGTCTTTCTCAAGGGGTAATGAGTGTGGAAGAGACATTCAATCCCACCACCTACATTTCCTGCCAGTACTGAGACTCGAACCTGCAGCCTTCGGGTTAGGCCACAACTGCCCCCTAGTTCATAAGAGGAAATACAAAACTCATCTGCTCATCCTGACCACAATACCATGTGATTATTAATATGAACCATTTGATTAAAAAAAAGAAATAACTATTATATTGTGAGACTGCATATACCCTTATTGTGATCTAGTACTACTCACACTGTGATATAAACTGTCTTACCCTGGATCTATTCTAGTGACACATAATGTTGTTAACTGGACGTAAGAAGCCTGAAGACAATCTGTGGCACTTTGTGTTGACATTTCTTTGAGTAGCCGTCCAATACTGCACTTATCTGGAGGGTTAAATTCCATCAAAGCTGCTAAAGACAGTCCAATTGAGACAACAGCTTAGTTTATTGGGTGCTATTTGCTCAATTTTATTGATCCATACTGGGGTATGTTCAGCATGTCAATGAAGGGGAACTGAGAAACAGAGAGAGAGAGAGGAAAGGTAGACGGATGTCATGCGGGTTGAACCGAACAGACAGGCTCTGTAGCATACTGATACTCCTGTGAAAAGTCTAGTAATCTTTTGGATTTCAATCAAGTTTCAATTCAAGGTTTTGCATGTTGCCTTGAAAGGTGCACTAATTAAATCTGTTGTATTTCGCATCTATTAATTACTAATAGTATTCATATTTCTACTAAAATTATGTTTAAATTAATGAATGAGATGAAGATTTTTGATTGAGTAATCAATTAATGAGTAGCAAATGTACCTTGTGTTTCTCCCCTGGCCCTTGCTTGATCAGGTTTCGCCGAATCTATGACGTTTCCCTGATAAAAGAACACAGGTAAAGGGA